GTAGTTTATAGACAAACAAGGACAACTTTTCAGAACCAGGTTATTATGTGCACAGATACTGTGTGTACACCTCAAAGCATTACATAGTTATCTTTAGTCTATTTATTAAGCAGATACCTTCTTGCACTAAACTTTATGTAAAAATGTTGCTGTTAACTCATCTGCATGTGTTTAAAATGTAACAATATGATTGCTAGAGACCCTGCTTTATTCTGAACCCATTAATTTATAAATTCTTTAGGTATACAATGAAGTTTATTGTGCACTCATGTTTTCCATCTTGCATGGAATTAAATATTTGTATGTAGAAAAATGTTTGTTCCCTTTCTCTCCACTTATAAGCTATTTCGAGAGAGGTTTAGGAAGTGTTTTCGATGTTTTCTGATGTGGAAAACGGAGCAGAAATTCCCGTATGAAGTGTTGGCTGGTTTATGGAGATACTCATTTCTGTAGGATTGTCTGGTCATTTTAATTCTCACTACCTTCTGTCTTACCGATAGAGGAATTCCTTTTTAAACGCCAGGCACGCTCTGCCAGTGCAACCCCAGCACACTATTTCCCTAAGGCAAAGCATCTTTTCCTAGGAAGCTGCTGGCATCTGCCCTGCACAGAGCCACAGAATGGGCAGCGCAGCCTTGTGGAAATAGTTTGCAAGTTTTTCTGCTCGTTTAGTCCTCCTCAGAGGTAAAACCCCTCTGTCTGTGATGTGCTCTTTCCTAATCGACTACTTTAAGTGGTAACACGTCATCCCCATCTGTTTCCAGGTATGTTTACAAGCCAATTCAAAACACTGACACATTCGTTCATCTTCAGCGCATAAGCTTAGATTTCTTCTTACATGGAAGAGTTGATCTTAGTAACACCTGATCATAACTGTCTATATTGTAAATATAAGACTTTGTATAAATGCTCTTTTTGAGAGCATGGTATTTAAATGTTTTTAAAACTGTAAGAGAACAGTTCTAGAAACTCTATTTTAATAAAATCCATGAAATTACAGTTCTAGATGAAGGGAAAAAAAAAAGTGGGAAGGTAAAATCCTGGCCTACTGCAATCAGCAGCTGTTAAGCAGTAGACTTTATCAGTGCTTTCCTGGGGCCAGAGCGTTCCCCGGGGGTTCTGATTTACTGATCTCTCATCTTTAGCTATCTTACTTTCACATAATTTGTCACTTCAAAGTGTATAACCTTAAATTCACAAATCATGAGCTGTCGGTCTAAGTTATTTAATGTTTCTTTTTTGTAAGAATATGTCAGTAATATATTAAATTGTACATAAAGACGACTTCACTACTGTTAGTCCTGTTGTTGTCGTATTGAGCTGCAGTAGTTGGCTTTATTCATTTGTAGAATTAAACATTACTGTTTAATTGTTGTAAAATTTTATAAATCTCTTTGGGTTTTTTTGGTTGACCCAAATATAATGTAAGTCTTAATGACAAAATGAGTGAAAATGGATGTTAAACCAGTACGTGGTATTCGTAAACCTCGGTAGTAGTAAGCGTGCACTGCTCTAGCTGCTGCTGCATGGAACCCATTCACTAGCATGAGTCTGTTTAGCTTCTGTATAAGCGCTCAAACTGTGAATTTAACAGCAGAAGGTGTGGGTATGGCTGCTGAGAACAAGCAGAAGGAGCCTCATTACAAAATGAAACCCAAACCATCGATGTAGTAGGTGAGTTCCCCCTTACGTAGTTGTCTGGTGACCTGCACGTGTGCCTGTGCTGCACACACCACCCCACAAGCAGGAGCACTTCACGGGACACATTCTGACTACAGTCAGCGTTAAAGCTCCATGCTGCAGGGAGGGAACTCGTTACGTCTGTGAGACTTTGCTCCACAGCGCTGAAGTATTACTTTAGCTTGACTTGCCCCAAGTTTACCTGAAGCATTAGTACTACAGGACTCGTAACAGTCAGATCATTAGATCTGGCACTGTTATTCCTACGGTGAGTGTTCAGCTTTAATACTCCTCTTACATACCCACAGCTTGTCTGTGTGACAGAGCCTTTATTAACTGTATTTCTTGCAGTATTTCAACTGGAAAAATACAAGTGCACTGTCACTTCAGCTATTCTCATGCCAGTGTTTGGTTATTGAAGAGCCATTATACAATATCTATGATTTTGGTCTGTGGTATTTAAAATCTGTAACTGTATTAGAAATCAGAAGAAACTAAAAGAACTCCAGGCTAGTCCCTGTTCCCCTCCGCTCTGTGTACAAAGTTTGCACAATTATTTAGTAATATGAAACCTGTTATACTTTATATATCTATATATTTAAATTTGCTTATTTAATAAAATTGAGAGCCATTGGATTATTTGTTTCGAGCTTTTTATTTTGTAACCCTCTTTAGGGGAGAGCCCCAAAAGCTGTTCTGTCCAAAACAACTGCTCCGGTCTGTCCAAATTATTTCTCAATAGTTTTAGCTGATTTACTGAAAAATACCCAGATTCTGAAATCATACATAATGCTCAGACTTTCCATCTGTGCCGAAATCTGTGAAGGAACAGGGCTAAAGTTTTACTTTTCTTTAAAAAGCAGAAGAAAAAGTTCTATTTAGGTCCTGCTGTGTTGTCACAGTAACGTCCTTTATCAGCCTCTCTATTACACACTTTTTCTTTCGCTATTTAAACACTTAATCATTTCCTCACTCTGGGGGACATGATCCAGTTTCATTTATTACCATTGCTTGGACTCAAAAGTGCTTTAACTTGTTGGGGCGGGGGGGGAGGGGAAGGAAGTAAACCTAACAGAAGGAAAATGATACACAAAGTTCATCTCCATCTGGATTTGCCTGAACTTCTCTCACCTTTACCATGTCTGCTCTCACAATGGCCAGGAACCGGGTTCAGAGACAGCACAAACCCAAACAGAACCAACACAGTATCACGACATTGCTTTTTCCTAATCCCGGGCCCTTTGCTCGATTTACATCCCATGTTTATCAAGTGCTGATTAGATTCTACAGGATATTCTTAATGTTCCAGGTTTCTCCCCAAACCGTAACCCCTGGCTAGAGCTGAAGTCCTTGTCACAGCAGCTGCCTTTGGGAATGAGAAAACAGAACAGTGAACACTTGAACACCCAGGAACAAATTCCCAGAATAAGGTTCCACTACTCTCTCCCATTGCTTCCGTTAGAGTCCAAAAGCCAAAATAGGGATCACAAGCCCCAGAAGCAGCAGACCCAGGCCTCAGCTTCCTCGGCAATTCCTGTTTGTGTGATTTACTCCATGTAGGCCCAGCTTTGATCTCCAATCCTTTCTACAGCTTCCCTTTGGGGGTGTTTTTTGTAGACAGTAAAAATCTGTCTGGAGAGACCGATTTACAGGGAGAAAGCAGCCTCCAGAAGTGCTGCCCAGTGCAAAGGACATACGAAGTAATTTGGGAATACACCAACGTTGCCTTTCCCACCACCACTCTGAAGGTGCTTCTAGCAAAGAGTATTTATGTGTTGAAAACAAATGTTACCAAGTAAACTTCTACCAAGGGGAAAAAATGCTGCACAGCACAGTGTCTGCCAGCACCAGCCTTTCCTTTGTGAACCGTTACGTTTGCACTGACAGACTTCAGAAGTACCAAATAGAATAATTTAAGTAATTTCATACTGTGCCAAATACAGTAATAAAAGAAAAAATCCTCTTCACTCAAAGTGTCCTAAATAAGCGTGAGGAAGCGCTGGGTAACAGGAGAAATCTCCCAAAATACAAGCAAGGGAGAGGGATACATGAAAAATCGCTCCCGAGACAAAGTTTGGTTTCTTTAACGTCAGCACTGCTTGTTTTTAGCAAAGGAGAGGTACCAGGTGCCTTTCACTTCCACCAACTCTTGGCTGTCTGGCAAAGAGTAACTGCAGTAGAACAGAACGACACTAAATGAGAAGGGAGAAATAACACATTACGGACATTTCACTACCTCTTCGAGAGCCAGCCCCAAGTACGAGTGAAGCTGCTGCTCTAAACTTGCTTTGCAACCCTCCCCGACGTGCTGCTGCGGCTGCGTGTCCCTCTGTGTATCTCCTTCTACAGAACACCACATAATGCCAGTAATTAATAGGAACTAGAGGATTCCCCATCACGACCTGCACTGACATGTTCCTCTTTAGCCTGTAAATACTGCAGCTGATTAGACCAGCTCAGAGAAAGGCTCTGAGCACCCTCCAGCTCCAACAAATCCCTACTGAGGACACCTGCAATACACACATGCTTAAAACTCCCACGTTCTTGGACAGGTAATTACAGATGCCTCCAAGTTCCAAGACCTTTAATGCAGGTAAAGAAAAACCAGCTGGAAGCCCTTTTTCTGAACCCCTTTCCAACACAGCACTCACGTCCATCCCTGCAGCGCTCACAGCAGCTCTCAGCACAGACCACAGGATCAGGTACCAACCTCGACAACATCGTGACCAGAAATAACATCAAGCAGAAATTGTCCTTAGAAAGAGGCCTTGAGACTGTCACTGGGAAAAAAGGGTGAGAAAAAGGTACCGAAGCACCACAGTGAATCCAACCACACCTCAGCTAGACCCGGTCCCTGAAGCTTCATGGGAAATGCTGGCTCGATGGAAGCTGGAGCGCAGCAGGACAATGGAACGAGGAAGGGCTCAATAATGTGGCTGATGAGGCCCAGAGGACACTTTGCAGAATACCCGAGTGAAAAAGGGAAACCAGGATCCAGCAGGAAGTTTTGCCTTCAGGTGGCTGCATTTATTAACCATGAAAAACATTCAGGAACACCGAGGGATTGGGAAGTATTATAACTGTATTTGGCAAACATCAACTAGAGCTAACAGTTCATGACAGTGGTTAAGCAAGACAATGGTTACTACGTGTGGAACTTAAAACACCACCTTTAGAAAATACTCATTTTACACAGTAAATATCAGTAAATCTTCACCAAAAAACCCCCTCCTGGAGTGGCTATTTCCCCATCACCATCACCAGCTCTCCCGTGCCACTTGCCTTGTGCAATACTGGAAGCCACAGAGCACGCTGCTGTCTCAGAAAAGCTGAAGGCCACTTTTTATTTTATGGAAGTCACTCTGAGTCCACAACAATCCTCCTCTCACAGGAATATTCAGTTCTGCAGAGCTGCAAGGGGAACAGAAATAAAGCATGGACATAAGCACTGAGCTGATTTATAAGCTCACATCACCAGTGTCGTTTTGATGGCACTTCAAACTTGTTAACTTTTACTTCCGAAACAAAACGTCAGTCCTCATTTTAGCTCTAAACATTTGGCTGCTGGAATGGCCTCAGTTTTCAATTGGTTTGTTGGAGAGAGGCAACAGTCCCGAGGTGCCAAAGGTACCAAAGCAAAGGTTACTGACATTGGTGAGGGAGATGTGACTTCAGCAGTAACCACAGAGCATCTCTGACCCTTCATCTGTCCTCTGCAGCTGGAACACGAGCTCCCCAGGTGAAGTGCTAACACAGCGAGCGGTCCATGTAACGGGTTTAAACTTAAACAGGGGAACTTTAGGTTAGATCTAAGGAAGAAGTTCTTCACAGCGAGGCTGGTGAGGCACTGGAATGGGTTGCCCAAGAAGTTGTGAATGCTCCAACCCTGGAGGAGTTTAAGGCCAGGTTGGACAGAGCCTTGGGCGACATAGTTTAGTGTGTGGTGTCCCTGCTCATGGCAGGGGGGTTGGAACTAGATGATCTTAAGGTCCTTTCCAACCCTGACTATTCTGTGGTTCTATGTGAAAACAGCCTGTTTCAAGTGTTACAATGCCAGTACCTGCTGCACGTGGCATTCCTATGCCATTACATTCCAAAGCCATTCCTATGGCTTTACAAGGGAGTCACAGAAACTAGTGCTCTTATAGCCTCGAAAGGAAGCTGTTTGGTGACACCACAGCACGCTGCCTAACGTCTAATTTTGGAAGGTATCTCAGAGAGGCGTAAAATCCCTTCTCACTGCAGAAGTGACCCAGTTCAAGCTCAGCCCCAGGAGATCCCCCAACACAGCATACAGAGGAACAGTGAGATTTGAGAGTGTTCCCAGACATCAGGCACTGTCAAACACAAGGCTCAAAGAACAGTTGGAGAACACATGTAAACTTCTTCCTCCCCAAAGCTTTACTATGCAAAGGACCTTCCATCACTGCCATGCAGTTGAGTAGGTCAGGGAAGGGTTTGCTTTATCGTGTTGATTCATTTTATGAGAATGATGAAGGTGAAAGCTAAATTTTATCATCAAAACAAACCTTTAAAGGATCCACCTGAAACCTGGTGAAGGAGAAAAAGGGAAAATCTGGTTCTCTTGTGCATGTTTTTCACTTTATTCCTTACGTCCAAGGAGAGCTCATGCACTCCTAACTGCAACCTACCGTCCTCCAGGGTAAGAATCCATTCCCTGCCGACTCACTGTCTTCACCCTTCAGCACCTATCAGCCAGCCCTCTCACCTATCTGCTCCTGCATCCCATCCTTAGGACAACAAAACCCAGTCATTATCCATGACCGTTAAGTGATGAATCCCGTTTCTGAACTGTCACTGCAACTGCTTGATGCACCCTCAGGAAACCCCAAGTGGTCGTTACCCACCAGATCTGCCCCTGCTGTCAGGTGAAACTGACCCTGGGAGGAGAGAAAAGGCACATTCTGGGGCTTTATCACAGAACCCAAACCTCTGCCTGAGGATGTCAGCAGCTACTCAAAGCATTGGAGGTTGCCACAGCAAACTTTGACAACACACACACAGAGCATACACTAAAGAACACCTTTTGGGGCCAGGGAGGAAGGAAGCGCAAGCTTTCCCGAAGTATCCCAAGCATCACAGGAACTTGGGTCTCAGGCTAAAACAAAGCCAAAACCTCTGAAGACACTACATTTGTGCCACAAATACATGCAGCACAGAAGCCAAGAAGGTATGAACAGGACTGATATGACATGAAGCAAAGCCTCAGCTTCTTTTGAAGTCTTGTAACTTGCATGAGAATCACGTAAGAGCAATTACAAATCTTGTCACGGGTATTATTTCAAACGAGGTCGTGCCAAAGATGACAGCAGCAAATTCTGATTAAAGCAAATTTCAAGACAATTCACAAATTCCTAGAAGCAATTAATTATAGACCTCGATGGCAATTTCACAATCACATCTATGCTGAAGTTGCTTCACATTAACACAGGAAGGCATGCAGCAATCTGTAAGACTATTGTCAAGACAGTATGAAAAACACCCCAGCTCACAGCGAGTAGAAATTGGTGTGACCTTTGCTATTTCCAGTTTCCAGGATACTACTTTTCCAGCACACTTCTGCTACGCTTGTTTTAGCTGTTACCATTTTCCACCCAAGAAGTGGCTGAACTTTGGGGTTAGCAGAATGAGTCCTCATGCACCTGCTTTGTAAATTGCTTTGGGTTCCTCTGCAGCAAGAGTTCAAGAAGTACAAGTAATTCTGTGCTACACAGAACAGGCAACACACTCCGTGCAGGTCTGCAATGCAGCAGTTAGTGGGGACTCAGATTCTGTAACATAAGCAGGAGGCACTGCACTGCAGCAGAAATCAGCTCTTACTCTATTTCTTCAGGAAGTCAGCTGCATCGTGTACATCACTTTCCCTCTTCTTTTATTTCCATGGTATATGAAGAGAATACTGCAGGTAGGAAGTGAATGATACCCTCAGCCTTAACTGCGAGACATTTACTGGTGGCTCAGGCTTGCCCTCCTGTTTTAAAGCCAGGTTTCTAAACTAGGTTGTGTAATTGTTGTCACTGATGGCTGGTTCCACAGCAGCATCGGTAGAAGCCTCTCTGCAAAGCACCACCACAGAAATTCAATCCTTGCCCCCGTGACAGGCACTGCAGAAAAGGTCTCATTCTCTCCAGGGCAATCTACCGTTGTGCACTATAAAATGAAATGGCAGCTTCCCCCTAACCATAAAACTGCAAACAATCAATCTACACCACCCACTCTGTCATTAATTCCTTAATGTCACCACATCTTTTTTCATGTCCCTGCGAGCACCAAATAACTGAGCGTTACCTACAAGAAAAGCACCAAAGAAACTGGAAAAAACAGGTCCTTCCAAGCTGCTCATTTGCAGATACCAAGAGGAGCGTTTCAGCACATGTGAGCAAGAATTTATAATGCAAAGTAGATTTGTCTCTTCCAGGAACAGAGGAGCTGTTGATGCTGAACATTTCTGTGCTGGTTACCAGCAGCTTATTCTCCTAGTCAAGACAGGGACCACAGTCAAGTGCGTAGGCACGTACTATAGCACAGAGTGCACTGCTTCCTGAAGATAACCCATGTTAGTCCAAGGTTCTTTGCCTCTGCTAAGCATCTTTAGCAAAATTTCCCATAATAGTTACACAAGTATGGTACAGAGCAGATATTCCTGGAAATGTGTATACTCCAGCTAAGCCTGAAGCCTTCTTGGAAAACCTTCAACTGGCTGACAGACAGAGGTTTTTGATCCTGTAGCAACTTATTTGCTCTTCTTCTCCGCACAGACAGGCTGACCTGTCTCCCACAGCCATGTCTGTTCTGTCTGACTTGCTGCTGCTTTTCATATGTGCAGAAGCAAGGATCACTTCTGTGCAAGCAATGGGATCCTAAAAAGTCCTAGAAGCTAAAACGTAGAGAACATTACTTAAAGTATGGATAAGTAATGGTTCACCATTAGAGAACTATTGAAAGTGCATTCCAGAGAACAGTCTGTTTATGACCAAGTACAAATCTGACTTCCCAATGCTCTTTACAGCACGGAGGGGAGAAAAGTGCCCCTGACAAGTTTACCACGAGAAAGAGGCCTTTTAAACAACCAGCCATGCATATTTCCTAACTATTCACATCCAGGGAGAAGGGAGGATGAGCGCAGGAGATCTCCCACAGAGCACATCATGCTGTTAAGGCCCAGATTTAGCTGCACATCAGTTCTAGCACATAAAAGTGTTTGCACTAGCTGAGATCAAAGGTCTGAGATGCCTGTCCCCAGCTATGTTCAAAAGCAGATGCGTGAGCAAGCACACAAGCACAGAACAGTGTTCCCAATTACCCTCCCACCTGCCAGCAGCTTGTGAATCAGAAACCTGCTGAGCTAAAGGTCAGCCTTGTGTTTAGATGCACTTGTTGACATGTGGGTGTTTGTTTTGTGCTTGGTTTATTTTCTTGAGACCCTTTAAGTACGTGTCTTTGCAGACTATTCAGGCAAGAATCTCAAAGCACCTTCTGAGACATCGTAACTCCCAGAACCACAGCTCCAGCTTCCATGATAACGACACTGATGCTTTGCTCTTGAAGCATGATAAGGAAAGCAAGTTTTGGAACACCAGAGATCATACCCACTTTGGACATCTAATGGATTTGAAAACACACTGAACAAGTTTTACCTCCCAGAACTCTTTCCTACTACCCTTCTATGCCCTCCAAATCCAAAGGATCAGAGCACATTTGTTCTGAAGTCACAAGAGGTGATATTAAGTCAGGGACAGACTGGAAGCTTTACCAAGTCACCATTTAACTAGAACACTCAATTACTGCTTGCCAGTGCTGTAGAACTGCTGAGATTTGAACTGCTTTGCACAACCCACTGCAAGCAACAACTTAAGTATCACAAAAGCAACTGCAAGTGTCAGCGTTTGGTAAGAAGGAGAAAGGAACAAAACACTGAAGGTGCAGCAGGACCAGTGCACCCAGTGGTTGCTGCTTCACGGTTCTGCTTTCTAATTGTTAGAGCTATGATGGAACACAGAGGACTTGTCCATGTTGGAACATAACCAAAACACATTGGAAACACTATCTAGAAAACATCTTCATGTCAGCTGCCAGAATCCACAGCTGAGCCTTTCCTACAAGAGGCAAGCAAGCACAACTTGTAGCAGTAGGAAAAAAAAGATTTAGTGGGAACTGGATGAAAGCAGACAAAACCAAAGTAAGAGCAAGGAGAACACAGTTAATTACCTTGCTAACGACAAAGCAATAGGAACTGCAAGGTGTTCTGCCAGCTGCAGGAGCAGCCAGCAGTATACTGATGGTACAGGCTTCTGAGGAATTTGGGATATAGGAGAACGTTGTCATGGTGATAAATCTCAATTCTTCACCTTCCCTGTGAGAGCACAGAAGCATATTGCCACTGCTGGCACTTGTACTCAACAAAACAACCACCCACCTCCTCACTCTCACCACCACAGATGCTGGAAGCTGCAGCAGAACGGCCACTGTTATGGGGAGGGAAAAGGAGACAGAGCAGCTGTGGCTGGGACACAACAAAAGAACCACCAGATCATCTCCCCAACCACCTGCCATTGGAGGATTACAGGCAATAGCAACAGACATAGATTACCAACGATCCCAAACTGCTGCTGTTACCACATGTGTGGAATAAAAGCTGCAAAGATACAATATTGGCAAGCACATCAGGTGCAAAAACAGGGCAGCACCACAGCAGTAGTGTCTGCTTGCTGTTTTCTCTCTGTAAATACTCACATTTCTTAGCAGTCCAGAAACAGGAAATCCTGGTGGCTTTTATCCCCTCCTCTGGGGGTCTTTTGCACTACTCCTCCTGCTATCGAGCTGAGCCCATCAGGTAAGAGGAATTTGGCAAGGACAGAGTTTGTATAGCCTTGCCTAGGCTCCCTTTTCCACACAAGGTTGGACCAGATGATCTTTTGAGGTCCTTTCCAGCCTGGGCCATTCTATGATAGCACATGGAACAGCAATGCACATGACATGCTTTACATTCCATGATAACTTAACAAAGTTTTCTATTCCTAGTCTAAATTTTATCTAACAGATGTTTCCAAACCCGAAGTAAAGCTGAAAGTAATCGCACTTAAACACCAGCAGTAACTTTACTGCTGACACTAGCAAAGATTTGGTTGATGTCAACAGCAAATTTACAAAATACCTATTTATGAGTCATTTTAGTGATTTTTTTATTAACAAATGAATTGAGTAATAGGTGCTGTGGGTGTTCAGACAGCAGATCTTAGTTTGGCTAACTTCTATCTCCTTTAACATCAGTAGTATGTAATGAAGTTTCTATGGAGAGGAACTCCTCCGCTTGTAGAGCAGAACCTGGAGTCATCAGGTGATTTTTAATTCCTGTTAGTCTAGAAACCACTCCAAGAAATATATTGGGGTTATAGAACACCTGAAGCCTACAACACACAAGTTTGAAAGGGCACATTCTACAGCTGGTTTCAAGTAGCAGCTTACAAACAAGCCCGAGCAGTGAATCACACTACTCCACATGTACTCATTACAGCCCCCGTAATGATGATTCCAGCTATCGTGCTCAGAAACTGAACTGAGCCAAGGAGGCTCAGATTAAGAAAACTCCCACCATCTCCTGTCAGAGCCTGGCCAGAAGCCAGGGGTACTGATTACTGCAGACAATTAGAGTTCTGCTGCAGCTCCCTCTTCTTATCAGTGATCTCACCCACCTGAACATCAAGTCAAACAGCTTTCTGTTTGAAGTCTCTGAGATCCAAGTGTTCTGTCACTTGTGACTACAGTGAGAGTGCCAGGGCTCTGCAGATTAGGGGTAGATATGTAAATTCCAGGAATTTGCCTTATTCCCAACATGGAACATGTTGCAAGAAACATGATTCATGGCTGCTGACACCAATGGGCTCTTCTGCTGAATCAGAAGGGGGGTTTTGCATCTAGTATAGTTTTCCTTTTCTTTTTGGGATAATCAACTATCAGAAGACAAATGGTTAGCTGCTCTCTAAACATGAAATTCATGCAGTGCTCAAAGCATAGGTCCTACCAGTGATTAACATCATTCAGGAAGACTCAAAAAGGGTAACTCATTTACCCTCTTGATATAAAGAGACACAGGTTTGGTCCTGTCTCTTGTAGAAGTGTTGTAACCAAGGACTTCATTAAGTATTTGGGCCATCAGAAAGACCAGCAGTAAATGACAGTTTCTTTCTGATTATCCAGGAATCTCCAAGATGCTGATTTTACATTTCAATTGGATGAATCAAGCACAAACAAAGCCCTCTCAGCAGGCCTGAACTGACCAAAGAGCAGCCTGGTCCTGGGGAGGATGACCAAGAGGATGGAGAAGAATGGAAACCTTGTTTGTTGGAAGGTTTGGAACTGGCATCTGAAGACAATTCTGAATATGTGAAAACATGAGTATGTGCTGGAGCAATTCCCAATGCAGCACCCCAGGCTGCATGACTGTCACTCACATTTTTTGGAATCTACTAGCTTTGGCTACATCAACTACAGGGAAAGAATCACTGATTAGAAAGTTACCCTATCAAATGTTTAAGAAAGTAACTGCCATTCATTTATATTCTGAAGTGTTCCTTGGATTAAAATACATATAAGCCCATCTCCTACTGTGTATGTGGTGATACTAATCTGACATCTTACAGCATTTGAGTTTCTTTAACTTCAAAGGCTGAAATAACCCTATCAGAATGTCTGCAATGGGATGGTTTAACTGGACAAGCTTCATTAAGTAGCAGAGGTGACCTAACTAAAGCTTTATAGAATGGCACCTTTATTTCCAGGACAATCTGTGTTTCTCTACTGAGGTGAGATGTGCAGCTGAAATTACCAGGTGCAGCTCTGAAAAGCTCCCTGGGCAATGCCAACATACTGTGACTGAGGATCAGAGCCCCAGTTAACAGGAACAGTTTTCAAGCCTGCTGGGGCTGTGGTAGTAACTTCCAAGCTGCTAAACAGCAGTTTCTCACGATCCTTGCAATGGCTGATTTTAGAGAGGAGTGAAGACAGTAAGATTATAAGATGGCTTCCTCAAAGGATACCATAGAAATCACATTTTTGATTGCCAATTATGCCATTGCATTTACCTTTCAGATAGTGCAACAGACCCAAGAAGTGCAAAACAAAAGTACATTCCCAGAAAGGAATGAGAACAGCAGCAATTGCAAAGAGCAGTTCTCAGACTTGATGACATGAAAGATGAAGGAGGCAACTGCAGAGAGGTAACTGTTGTGTATATTCTTTCAAAGGATGACTGTTAAGGCTTCATGAAGTAACTTCCTATGATACTGGTGAGTTGTCACAGCAATCCAGGTAGCAGTAACTTCTGTCTGACTGTGTCCATCAACAGTGCAAGCACAGTGTCAATGCAGTATGCAGTACAAACAAGTAGGAAGAGTTTCCTGTTGTGAGGAGGGAGGGTGAGAAGAGACTTTATCTCATGTTGGGTTAACCATAGGATGAATAACTGGGACTGCAGTGACACAGACCTTACTCAGGATGCACATTATAGCCCCCATTGCAAGCATACAGAAAAGAGACATTTGCATTCACTGATGTGAAACTCAGATATTTACCACCCCAGTTATGTACAACCAGTTCCTCCCTCAGGTGTTACAAAAGCAATCTGCAGTCAATCACTTTCTTTTCTTTCTTTTGTGGCTATCTTCTCACCTTCAGGCTTTCCCACTAATGCACCTCAGAGCAACCCACTGTGCATTTTACAACGACTCCCCCTTCCCATACAAGATTAGCTAGTGTGGGAAAACTGACACTGGGAGAGGATAAACAACTTCCAAGGCTCGTAGTCCTGATGGCTTTAATTGTAAGGCAACAGTTCTTCCCATTAAAATTACTCATCCCAGTGTACCACAGGCACATTCTCACAGCAGCTTGTTTTAAAGATCCTGCACTTCCACACTAGTACTTCTAAGGGATCAGCAGACTGTGTCTTACTGTCAGACTAGCATCAGACAACACTGACAGTTGTCAGCACAGTCTGAAGAGCAGACTGTTATGCTATTACACTAGCACTGCACAGGGCCTTCCAAACACACACATTTCTTGGAAAGCCCATGAGCAGTGCAGTTAGTAGATACCAGAGAGAGTAGCAGATACTTGGGTCAAACTATTTAGTCAGAAGGAAATCTCATCCTTAATTTTTCACATTACATAGGACAAGGCAAAGACAAATGTATTTCATGGTTCAGGGGCAAAGTCCTGCCCACACTATTACTCACTTTGTATTGGGAGGCTTCCACTCATCTCTCACTGGCTGGTCAAGCAGGGACATCATGGAATAATTATCCAACATGAGACCATCAGGGTCGTCTGTCTGACCGGGGAGTTTCCCAAGAGGAAAGTCTTGCCATCGAACTTCATCTGGATAAAAACAGTACACGGACAAGAAGTCTGAGCTCCCCAGAGAGATTTCAAAGAACAAGATCCCCCTAAGTCCACAGATGCTCTCTAATGCAACTTGGCCACTCAGCAGAAAGGAACACTCAGGTACTCAGCAAAGATTCTAGTTCTAGCTAATAAGAATACCACAATGTCTTGGGAATTCTGCTATTTGCTTTTACAAGCACCTATTGCTGTTTCCTCTCCATGACTTCACATTTGTTAAATCTGGCTTCCAATGGGGGCCAGCAAGTGCACGGTGGGGAACCATCCACCACAACTGATAAACACCAGTGAGTCCATTCCTTTAGATTGTGGTGCCAACATTTCAAAGGCAGTTCCCAACAGGTAAATCCCCCATTAAATTTAATTCTTACTTCACATCTAACTAAATGAAAGATACAGATGATTATGTGTCACGGTTGTGACAATAGGATCTCTTAAGCCTATGTGCTTTCTTGATACGAGAACATTTAGTTCTACAATGCTTACCAGCAGCTCAGCAAAGACCAGCAGACAGAAGCCTTCACAAGCCTTCACTCCACTCCAGAGCCAGTACACAGAGTATTTGAGATCCCTACTAACCATGTACAACTTGCCCCTTTCCTTCTCTTTGCCTGAAACTGATTTTGTTTTGTGTACCTGGTATCTGCTCAAGCATTGCCCTAAAGAACCAGCAGATTTATCCATTTCTCCTTTTATACCATTCTTGGGCATTTAATAGAACAACAACAGAATTTAACAGAACAGTTACTGTCCACTAGGACAGTGCTTTCTAACTATTATAATTTAAAAGGGGCAGAAATGGAATTAGGTAACATCTGATGCAGCTGTAAGGCAAATTACCATTATAGATATTTAACAGGCTAAGTCCTCTCTTTGGGGAACAACCTAGTTCATATACCACATGTTGGCACAGGTTTGTACATACCTATTGGCTACAGTTTCATATTGTTTAGGGATCTCTTTAGCAACACAAATGTCATTCAAACAGGAATTAAGTTTGCCCACAAACAACTACATAAACAGAATCTTCACAAACCCCGGGAGGTTCAGGATACAATACATGTTCCTGCAGTGAAAGCTTTGCTTGATCTGAACCAAAGTCACTGAAGCAAAGGACAATTTCACTTCTGTTCTCAAAATGTCCAGCTCTAAAAAGCTGTCCACAGCAGTGAGTGGGGTACAAGAGTTCACTGACTTCTAATGGCTGTTTTTCTTCTTCCTTTAAATACCACTTTGCCCCCAACTCCTCTCCACCAACTTTCTCTTCCCGTCTTCAAATCCCTCCACAAATCACTCATCCAAAAATCTTCTTCGCTACAGAACCCTCCACCTCAAAGAGAAAGTACAGCTACCATAATAATGCTGACAAAACACTTTAATATATATCTATATAACTGTTTATTAACAGTTATAAACTGTTTATTCCTTCTAAAAACTTCCCTTGCTCCTTTCTTTTGCTTGCCACTATGTTCTACCTGCATTTTTCCTGGAGCATGGAACTTACCAGCACATCCAATTTGTGCTTTCAAATACCCCCAAGTCTGACAATAGAAGTCCAATAAACATCCATATGTTTTTGCCATTCACAGCTGCACATACACTGCTCCATCAACTGGATACACGGGCATTTTTAACAGTTTGGAAAAGCCTGATAAAGGATTTAATGAGGCAGTAAACAACCTGCTCCTGGAAAAAGCATTCCCAGTATTTAAAGAGTTTAAGAGCTGACTCCTGCACATAAACAGAAGACTGGAAAAAACAGTTTCCAGGGGTTTGGCATTTTGATGATTTTGAAGCACACTTCAATTCTGGCCAGGCCTAGAGGGCTGAGCTGCTTTTGCATTTCAGTTGATATCTGCCAGTGACAAAGACTAAGTCTTACGAAGTCATTTCTTACCTGCAGTGATCTGCCAAGCAGATCCTTGCAGTGCTGCCCTTTTCTCAGCAATAGCCACCATGTTACCAGAATGAGCGAGTCCTTCCAAAGGATTAGTTTCAGTTACCATCTCTTCTTCCTCCTCCTCCACCTCCTCTACGCTGTTGTCTCTCTCCAGCAGATCATCTTGTTTCTCTACAGTCTGCCCTTGATTTTTAACCTGATTTTCTTGCCTGGTTTTCCACTGTAAGCTCTCTATAGTGTAAATTGGCTGTTCGCTGCTGTCTAAAGAGAGGCCTGGGCTGGACAAAGGGCCACCTCCTTCTGTGTAAATGGAAGCGAGATAGAGAAGGTTCTTCCGTGAAGAACGTGGCAAGCGAGGTCTCATGATTGTGAGGATCCTAGAAAGGAAAAGGGCAATGTAAAAGTCTTAAAAGAAAAGAAGATTCCAGATGAAGATTCATGAAGCTGAGCAGGCTTTTAAGTGTGAGTGTCCTGCAGGACAGCTCATTCAATGTACCTCCTCTAACAGGCAAAACCTGACTATTCCCTTGCGGGTAGATGCTGGAATACTCCCTCTTTGTGATCAAAATTAAGAACTTGGGATACTTCCACTTGAATTCCTGCTTTGCTGTTTTCATGTAGAATAGTTACCACCTGTGCTAAATTCGTATCATCTGTATAAGCAGTCACATCTCTGTTACCAAGTCACTTTCTTCTGACGGGGTTGCTTCTTTTAATACCTCCCCAGATAATATCCACTTTCATTTTGAAAGTGCAGTCCTTCTAATCCTCCTCTTTGTAGAACCAATGGGGAGATGAGTAGCAACAAACAAGGCTTCATATGCACCTACCACAGTCTGCACTAGATGCAAAAGGAGGCAAGGGAACACAGCTGTAACTCAGCACATCTCAAGGGAGCTGGCCAAAGCTGTTACAGAGCACAGTTTGCTGTCACAGGATCAAACTTACAGCTGAAGAAGGTGTGGGGTTGCCCAGCAGGGAGCTTCCAAGCAATTGTCAGTCAGTCTTATCCATTGCAAAGGAACTTTATGAAGGAACAGCTCCTTCACTGACACCTGTTTGTTACACTGCTGTCTCTTCTTCCCTTCAAAAAAGATACAGAAAACAAGGTGCTCAAAACTCACTAGAAATGTCTTTCATCCCTTTGCACTTTTACTGAAACACATCCTCAAACAAGCTGGCATTCCAATGCAAGCCCAAGACCAGAGGTACCGCCAAATACATCAAGGTTGTTGCAAGTGACTTGCCAATGCAGGGACAGCTAGGTTAGCTCCACAACACACCACCACAGTGAGGTGCAGACATTCCCAAGCTGGTTCTGTGCACACCATCCCAGACAGGAAAGCCACAAGCTGTGTTTGTAAAGTATTGTACTAATATCTGGAAAAAACAATACTTCAAGGCCTGATCTTTCACGGGAGAGATTGGCTCTTTTACCTTGGGGAGGCTGCAGCAAAGCTGCCAATAACATATATGTTATACATATATGGTAACATATAACATATATACAGAGAAATTCCAGACATACTCACCAGCGTTAACTTTGGCAATGCCAGTCAGCATCTCAGAAATCCAGCTGATTAAGAACTGAGGCCGGAGTTCTGAAGAGTCAGAACATTCCTTCAGCTCCATGAACATTTTCTCTATCAGGATCTGTGTAAAACTTCGGGAAAGGAGGCCTGTCAGCAAAGGCTGCCAAAAGCAGTAAAATGTCTGAGGAATTTTGAACTGCCATAACTCTTTATTTGCTGCAAGAAGAAGAAAGGAAACCACAGGTGTAACACTTGTTCCAAACTAAAGTAGTTTGCTCTGAGATGACTGGGGACAGGGTATTTCCTGGGATCCTCACTGAATTATTGTCTTCTTATGCCAGGGAAGTAAAATAAGCAGCAGTAATTGATAATTAACACAACAGCTCACTGAAAGCAAAAACTACAATGATCTAATCACATGGTAAGGCACAGGAAAATCAATCTGAAACTGGGAAGGGATTAGCAGAACAGGTAACTTCTCACATAACAAAGAGCTATTCTGTCTATAAATATACTGCAAAGAGAAGGCACATTGAGCAAAGAAACACAGAATCAAAGAGCTCTTATATATTTACTACAGTAATATAGTCACAGTAACTTTTCTTGGAAAGTTGTGTGGTACTTCCATGAGGTGCCAGAGCAATAGACAAGTTACTAATTTTCATTTCTAGGTATCCAATTCTCTTGCAGAAAACCCATGAACTCCACATGTGGGCAAAAAAAGAAAAAAAATTAGATTTGCTTCAAATCTTCAATGTATAAAAACCAGTGGGAATTCAGGAAATCAGTAACTATTGCATGTAAGGGCAGAGATGAAAGCTTCAAAAGACGTTTTGGCCCAGCAGCATTCATTCTTCCATGGCAAGAGGTTTATGGCATGACCATAACGGGGTCTGGAGAACAGTTCAAAAGATTCTTAAGGACCCAAATACATGAAAAATATGCAAAGAATCACAGATTTCAATATAATGAGATAAAAAAGAACACACTTGAACATAACCGTACCTATGCACCTTTTGCTTGTGTGGTGCCAAGACACTAACCTTCGTACTTGATATTTAGCATCTTCAGACAATCCATCTTTGGGATGAGAAAGCCATCACTGAGAAGAGCTTCAGCTACTGTCTCCCTGGAGTAATCAGAGAGTCTTATTAATGCCACTTACTCCTTTGCATATCAGAACACCACTTGCACCAGTTCTGAAACAAGTTTGAGAGCTACTCTTTCTGTACAAAGTACTAAAATAAATACTCCTCAGAATGAAAATCAAACACTGAATAAATTCCACAGGAACAACTGCTTTTGGTATCAGGCTCATTGGATTTGGAATGGTAGTACCCATGTCAAACATGGCATGTTTTGGCATAGAATGGATGAGAAAATTTGTCTTCTCCAGTAGGGGTCAGTTCCAAACCTAAACATCCAGGCATGACTTAGATCCAAAGCCTGGAAGTGTGGAACCAGCACTTACTGGAAATAACACACACACATCTATAAATAAGAACATTCTTGCCAGAAGTTCTCTCTGAACAATAGATACACAAGGGAGTTAAATGCAATTGCAAAATCTCACTGCAGCAGCACCACTGCTGAAGGGCTTGGCTCTTTGCAAGCTTTGCAAGCTGTGAGTTGTGAAACAGTCCCTCATCCCTGGCTGCTGCAAGTGAGGGATTTCCCTGCACATCAGAGCAGCTATTTTAATGTAGTCACCTGATCATTAGGAGTCACTCAGGAAACCATGAAACAGCCAACAGAAACAAATCCTACAAGACAAAAAAGTACATTCTTCTGGTCATAGAAACCAGCTTCCTCTCTTCTTTGAAGCCTGTGCTTAAGGGAACATCCTCTTCCCCACATACCTGCCCTCCAGTCAGTACACAGTCAAGCACAGTAACATAGGTTTAATCAACAACCCATCCCACTCACTGTCCAGTCTAATAGTTTTGGCACTGTTGAGATGGCGAATTCAGCCTAAAGAGTTCTTTTAAGAATGGCTCATGAAATATATATAGCATGATGTGCTTAAGATAGACACTTGAGATTATTTAAAGGGAAAAACATTAGCATGGTTTTGTTGTGCTAGTAGTAAAGAGCAAGCACTGCAGAGTCCTGGGAACTGGATGGGTATTCCAAGTGTTTGTATTCTCAAATAAGCCTTCAGTTCCAAAGGTTTCAAAAACAAAGCTGCCCGAACTCCCTCTACCACATTGCTGATGTGAGGTTCAAATACCTATTTATACATAAAAGCAGCTGCACTTGGTCCCTCTGTGTTCTGAAGGTGGCTAACAGAGCATGCCTAGGGAGAATCAGAGGTAGGTGCAATGGCTTGCTTCCACCAGTAACTTCCAACCATCTACCAACATACAGTTTAAGTGACACAGAAGTCCCATGTTTAGTAAGGTATGTTTCTCATTACAGAATCTTTATGTCTTCTTGCTCATTACTGCATGCTCAGCAACTGATGGGCAATGCCACTAAGGTGCAAGTCTCTTCCTCAGGGTTTTCTTCTGGCACAACATCTGATAACCTCTTAAACTAATCAGCAGCTTGTATGACATATATATATTTATATCCAAAACATCAGGAGTTATAGCTCATATCTGTAACATGGTATTCCCTCCCCTCTACAGTTACACAGACCACATTTCTCAGAGTGGGCGATCTTCATGTAAATGTATACAGTGATACTGATGTCTCAGCACACTAGGTCATAGAGGCCCTGTAGTAACAGAAGGATAGAAAACACAGAAGAGGCCAAGTACTGCCCTACAATTTTGAAGAAATCTAAAGGTCTACAGGCCCAGCTCTGCACTATACCTTTCACCTCAGTTCCTTATCAGATACATACCTGTTCTCTTGCATCAGGTCTTTGATCTGAGCCAAAATCCAGTCCACTTCTGAAGAGGTATCAGACCACAGCTCTCGATTCTTTGAAACAGACAGTGCAGCCTGCATAACCTGAGGGAAGGAAAAGTTCAAGTATTAGCAGAAAATATGCTCCAGGGACAAACAGAAAGGCATTGCTATGAAGAGAAGATGCACATGTCATATGTACTTCATCAATAGCACTTCAAAAAACTCACAAGAGTTCCCATTCCTAGGGGTATATAAAATACTAATGCAAGCCATGCTGTACTTGGAAAAGTCCTGAGCTAAAAAGGCAGCAGCACCAAAGAGTCACGGTCCTGGCGTCCTCATTCCGGTTCTAAACCTTGCTCTCCCTGACTTCAGCACAAACCAGGACACACTCATTTTGAATCATTAACTCCACATGTGGGGTAGAGATGAGATTGCCTACTCAGGACAAGGTTTTGTCAGTCATATTTTGCATACAGTAGATGAAAATTTAGAGTAAACACAGCCGTCCAGGCAACCTGTCATCAACTGAGAGCATCTGATGAGTAGGAGCAATACACAGATCAGATTACCAGCTTGTACCAAGAACAGAAGAGAGAGTATTGCAGGTTAGCACTCCCCTGAAAAGTTAGTGATTTCTTGGTTTGATATATAAGTGACCTGAGTCCATCTAGCAAGGTGAGACATCCTTCCGCTACATTCTTCTACTTACGCTCACAAGCTACCCAATTCTACCATCGCCCCTTTCTATAGAATATTGGCATGAAGCATGTAACATCACAGAATCTAGCAGATTCCTTCTGGAAGACAATAGCTACTCAGAGAAAAGAAGAAATCATTTTTCCTGCCAGGGAGGAATGTAATGTAAAACGAGACTGGAAAACCAAGGTGTCATTTTCGGGACTGTGATTTGCTCTCTCAACCTACACATGCAGAGCTACCACTGCAAGCAAAAGATACTTTAGATGACAAATCAAGTATAAACACATGACCTAAAGAAACTAAAGAACCTCTAGCCCACCAAAATAATCAGTCACTGGGCCTCTGCAGAAATATATGATGGATGATAGAAAACATGGGCTAATGACTTCTGAATGACAGGTCTGAATTTCCAGAGACACCAGGATGAACGGAAACAAACTGAGCACTACCTGGACAAAACCTGGGATCTCCAACATGTATCTTTTATAACATGAACAAAGTGTTTGCATTAGAAGCCATCACAGCTCAAACTGCTTGTTCTCTGCAGCGAAGCTGTACTTTAGCAAGCCATGTATGACAATACTAGGAGAGATACCTGAACAAGGAACCAACCAAGCCTCTCTCCACACATGCAGCAGTCACAGCTCCCCTAAGGGCCACGCACTGGACAGCAGCACTATCTTCAGACATGAGTACACCACCTGGCAAGTGTTGGTAGCACTGTGGACACTGGTGTACTGCCACCTCTGCAGCACTGATACAAATACCACTATTGTATTACTGATGTTTCTGGACAGATTCTAACTGTAAGAAGATGCAGCAAGGAGGAAAAAGGGATCCCTGCAGTTATGTGAAATAAACTTGTGGCACAGTGACTATGTTGTGCTAGCACTCGGGTATTTCAAATAGGGCCTGGCCAAGAAGCCCAGTTCTTCAGGCTGGGCAAGAATGAAGAGACTTATAGCCCCAAACAGGAAATAAGAACCACTGAAAGTGCTGATGATGTGACTGCACTTACCCGAAACTGCTCATTCTTGTAGGATATCAGCACATCTCTGACTTTCTCTAGAAATAAACATATAGTTTAGACAGGGAATGGATCAGGGAATTCTGTATCTGAGCAAGCTGCTCAGTTCTGAATGTAGACTCAAGGAAGAAATCAGTCAAATGAAGTCAAATTCTGATTCAGGCAACACTCTGAAAACTCCTACAGCTCTCAGACCGTTCCAGCAACATAAATTCTATCAAGTGGGGTTGAACCACGAGTCCAGCATTTTATCACTAACAGTGGCCAAAGACACACAAGTTGAATAAATCCAAACAGCTCCTAAAAATCCCTAAATAGATCATTTTAGGAAGAAATTGTTCCCATAAGCAGTTCATGTTCTGATGTATAGGTGTATTCCTTATATTTGCATTTTCAATCTATTACAACAGCACTGTGGCTATTCACAAACCAACCACAACTCTGCTGGACCTTCATAAGGTTTAATTTACCATCTACATGAAATGTCCTTTCTCCACCTGTGGACCACTTTTACTGTACCTGAAATAGCACATGCTTTCAAAATACTTCACCAGTTGGGCATCATTGTCACCTGCTACCAGAATGCCAACCACCCCACATCAGCTAGATGCAGGACTGATACACCACTGCCATTCCATTACTCTGGAATAAATCAGAGAATGTATTGTATCATTCTGTTGTTCTCTTCTGGCAACTGGGGTGGGGTGTTCCTTTTTATTAGGGCAGCCAGGGAGAGGATGGAATAGCACATGCTTGGATCTCATCCAAAATGAAGTAAGACAGGAGCCCAGACATACACTCTGATAAGAAAAGTGGCAAGTGCTGCTTGTGCATTCCAAAGTTCAATACTGCCTCTGAGCTTGGATTGTTCCCAAAGTACACAACAAATCAGCTGGTATTTTCTGAATCACAGCTACTCTATCTAGTATGAGTCTGTTATAAAGGAATCTAGAAGGGACTTGCAATAAATCCATAGATCCTAAAGCCTGTAAGATCATTATAGTCCCCTAGTGTGACCTTCCAGAGAGCAGTAAGGGTCACTTCAGCACTTCTTCACACTCTCTGGGCCTTGGATCAGTCTGCTGTAATCTGTTGGGTGAGTTACCCCCATAAGCATGTCATGTTTTGTCGTTTGAGGTAATGTTTGATACCTCACATGCCTCAAACTCACAGGCCAGTCATTCAAACTAGAAATCCACTTTAAGAAAAGCTCCTTATCTTAGGTTCAAGGACTTACGGTGATGGAAAAGCAGCCACTGGAAAAATTCACCAGTCTTCCCACTGTTTTACACTTTCTATCTTAATTATATACAGGTTAAGTTACCTGTGTTTGGTTTTTTAATACTATTAGCAGCTACTGATTTTTCTGTCCACATGCGAAGCACTTCGAAACTGGCTGAACTACCTTTATCCTGCTCTTGCTCAAGTTATGAATCTACACAGTTTTGAAAGCTATAAAAGTACCATAGCCTTCCTTGTCAGTAGGGGCCTCAGTACCAAAACTGTGGCTGTCAAGGCACTACCAACTAATTTTTGCAATGCTTGGTCCTAACCCATCCCAGTGTGACTGTTGCTACTGATCGAGATACTGCATATTCAACAGAAGTAAAAGATTTTATGCTACAAATTCAGTGAGCAAATAACAAAAGTCAGTCACCCCAAGAATCTACTAAGGCCCAAAAAGGAATCCCAACACCTAAGCTGAAGGTACATCTTTATGCATTTCCAGGGCTAGAAGATGACAACTTTTAAACCTACTTTTGTGGCATGGGACATACCTAATCCTTGTATCTGCCACTGTTCTAGGAATGCCTACCATGGAATTCCTTGTGTTTCTGACAGGCCTCGTGCTGGGGGGTTTGAATCTCCCATTCATCATTGTCCAACTCTGCATTTTCTTCCACTTCTTCCTGCTCCTCATCTTCCTCCTCACTTTCTTCACACAAGTTATTGCCCAGCTGACGGCTCCAATAGGTCTTTCGCAGCCAGTCCAGTACAACATCACAACCTAAGGCAGCACAGGAAAGATCCTCTTCTCAGTGAAGTTTTCTTTGTTATTGAAAAAAAGTGGCACATTGCTAACTTGCACTGTGAAAAGAAATGCTGTGAACAAGTTACAAACCCTGAAATCACACAGACACCCACTAATGAAAAACTAAACATAAATGAACAAGCTTAACCCCCCAAAAAAGCCCCAAAACAACCAAAAAACCCCACAACAAACCAAACCACCAAACCAACCAACCAAAAAACCAACAGTATCACAGGCCTGGTAACATCCAGCCACTATCATTTTGGCAACAAAAATGACTGGACACTCTTACAGTGCTGCATCTTGCTCAAAGTAGGCCAAATCTAAGCCCAGTGGCCGTGGTGTGGCAAAAAGATGAGTCAATTCCTTAATAAATCACTATGACCAATGTAATGTCTGTAACAGTGACATTAAGTTTTCATGCAGAGATGACACTGTGCATTCATTAGAATGGAAAGAAAAAAGTCTTTTGTCCCATCACTATTTCACTACCCAACTCAATCAAGGACCCTGCTGAAAGTTATTTAACTGGTTACTCAGTGCTTAACTTGAAGTTCCTGGGAATCACTTCAAGTGCCATCAGCTGGTCACTCATTCAGGCTTGCAGTGCCTACTGCATTTCTCCCTAAGTGGGATTTTTAAAGCATCTCCGGTACCTATAAACCATCAGGAAAACCATCTACCTCTTTTCCTGACATCAACTTCCTGTGCTGTGAAGCAAGAGGGATGAGCTATTGTTTCCAGTATTATTTTTAGGGGAAGGAGAAAGTCTCTGGACACCTGCCCTGTGATGCATCACAACCTGGAGCCACTGGACACGATTCAGCTACCTCCATAGGGCTGCAGGAAATCCTCCCAGTGTCTCACACCACAACTCTCCCTGCCAGGATGAGCCCGCTGCCTGCCCTGCAGTGTCCCAGGATGGAGGGAAGCGTGGCACTGGCATTGCTACCCTGAGCCCTCCGAGGCCAAGCCCTCCCGATGCCACCCGCCAGCGGAGCTCACCCTTGCGGCACAGAGCCAGACGTGGCAGCTTCCCGTGGGTCAGCTCGTGACGAAGATCCACAACCCAGATAGGGATATCCACCTGGAAGAACAGCCCCTGGTGTTACCCTGCAGCCCCCACTGCATCATGCCACAACAGCACACAGTCCTGCAGAGCTGCAGGGAACCTTTACCTGAGTGGGAACGGCCTGATGCAGGCCACTCCTGCACCACATCCCCTAGCTTCCCACTTCAAGAATGGGCTGAGATTGCCTCCTCTGGCCTATAATCCACACAAACTTGGGAGTTTACAGGTTAAGTTCTTCAGTGTTACTTGCAACAACAGATGCATTTTTAGGCAGAATTGATACGTATTATTTAATGGGATACTGAGAAGCAGTTGCATACTGGATGACAGTCTGCATAGCAAAGACACAAATCATATCACATATAATACAAAAATCATACACATTTTAGCTTGTGTACAAGTTTTTGCAACTTTCCTAAGGACAAGTAACTCCAACTATGCAAGACCTCTATTTTTAAGACTGAACAGTTTCAAAACGTGAGAAGCAGCACCTCTCTTAAAAAAAGGTGCTTTTATTTTTCTTAAAAACCCAGAAAAAAACCCCAAACCACCAAATCATTCTCACACAGGGGCCCCAGACAAGGCTGTATATACAGGAGAGTCCCAAATACTGTCAGTTCTTCACTTTCAAAACTTGCTTTTCAGACCCAGATGTGATGCTCAGTGCAGATGGCAATAAAAGGACTCAAGCTGGTCCTGCTACTACAGTTACAACTTGAACCTTCCGTTCTTCACACAGAAGAGGACAAGCTCACCTCAAGTGAGAGGCACATACAAAAATGTCTGCAAAGGTGGTTAAGTGCTTGTTACATATAACATTGCTTGTCAAAGACTGGAGTCTATACATAAACGTGTGGTGTATATGTCAAGTGGGACTATCTACATGTAAATCAAGACTTTATGATCATACATGATTCAAAATGTTTTGATGATCATCAACTTGTTGCTCTGACTTTAAAGAACAGAGTTTTAGACCTAATTACATCACGCCTCCTCAAAACCTTGCAGCTGGGAAGAACTGGCATCTATAGCCCTTATTTTGTCCACAAAAGAATGACCCCCCCACAACTCCCTCCACCCAGTGCATAAGCTCTCTGTATAAACCTAAGTTACCGAGTAACTCGTAATATTTACCTCTTTTGCTAATTGCCTCAGAGGAATGCTGACCATTTTCTGTTTCCTTTCTGTGATCAAGTTGACAAACCTGCAAGCAGGTTACCAAAAAGATAAATTACTACCAAGAGCTGCAGAGAAACTTGGAACCCCAGAGACAAATCCCCCACATGCTGTGGTCCCAGAGATGCAAAGTGAAGTTAGACAGCTGAATAATGCTATCTGCCCAGGTGTCTCAGAGCACACAGGTCTCCCTACCTTACAAGAGCCAGCCCATAAGAGAGGATGAGCTCATGCGACTTCACCCTGCCAGATGAATCCAGGACCTTACAACGGATCAGTTCAGCGGTGCAATCCACTGCGAGAGGCATTTTGGGACCATACCTAGATATAAGGGAAAAACAGGTGAGCAGTCTTACAAGAATACATCCCCCCTGAAAGGGGGTAGCTTTCAGGCTACGTTTTGTGCTCTGTGGTACCTAACACCCTGAGAAACGGTATGCAAAAAGCCAGCAAAGGCTCTTTCCAGGTGGTTTTTATTAGAACACCGATTACATGGCTACTCCTAGGCACATGTTCAATGAGTACTCACGGATACACTAAGCACTCTCACAGGATGCCGTATCTAGACCGGTCTTGCCTATGGATGCAGCAGGGGCAACACAAACAGACTGCGGGGATTTGGGGGCCCTGCATATGCTCACTGCAGCACTGCCCCGGGAAACCCTGCA